TGCATGTTCACTGATTAAGTATGTTGACACAAGATTGAAATAGCTCAGGATTTACTACATTTACACAAGGCAATCTGTATTTGCAAAGCCTAGGCAGAAGTTAACATAAACATAATGATAAACACAAAGTATTAGATGATGAATAATTAATTTACAGTGACTTAGTTTTCTCCTATAATATACTTTAGTATTATTTATTAAAATATGATTATGTCGGTATTTTCACTAGGAAATATATGCTCCTACAACTCTGTCACAATAGGCTTCTTCTTGATTTCTGTTATCTTCATATAAAGACATTGTTTTCATCTCACAGAATTTTCTTTTTGTCATTCGTTTATCATGAGCAATAACATTATTCTCAACATCAAGGCAGAGATTCTTTGATATAATAGGTACTAATTGTTCTTAACTTTTTGTGGAACTTTATAATAACTGTTATAAATTTTAGACATTTCAAAATAACTTTGGATGCTTGTAGACTAGATAGTTTGAAGCAAACATATTGCCAAAAAAAGACTAAAAATTGGGAAAAAATAAAACATCAGTTTGAAAACATAGGACATAATACTATAGTGAATAATTAACCAGATAAGATCTAAATAACTTACTGTTCAGAGAGGAAATCACAATGAAATTAAGTATTTTGCAATAAATGATAATAAAAATGTTATAAAGATTTTTGGACATATTTAAAGCAGTGATGACATAATATAGCCTGATATATATATGTTAACAAACAAGACAGAAAAATAATGGTTGAAGACTCTAACACAAGAAATTGTATAAATATAGCAAAATAAATCAAAAGAAGACATAAAAAGGAAAATAACAGACATAAGGGTACAAATTAATGAAATAGAAAACGTGCAATATAGAGAGTCAACTAACAAAATGTTGATTGTTTGACAATTCAACTAACCAGCATGCAAAACTGATGAATATAAAAAAGAGAAAAACACAGTTGACCAGTAACAGAAAGAAAAAAGATGTCATTATTACAAATCCTGGATGTTTAATATGATATTAAAATGAAAAGATAGTATTATAGCAATTTTATATTGATAAATTTAAAAAGAACAAACTGACAAATTACTAAGAAGACAGAACTGCAAAAATTGGACAAGCTAAAATAATATTAAATATAAATATTCCCATAGCTATCAAATCACCCTACAAAGAAGAGTTTGGGAACAGAAGACTTCACCTGCAATATATATAAAAATTTTAATGATCTCATGTCAAACTGTCATTTCTCACGTTCATAAATTAGAACTCAATTATATTTCTATTTATCAGTAATAAAAACATTCAAGAAAGCAAAAGAGACAGAAACATTAGAGAACTATAAAAAAATAATATAAAAACATGATTGAGCAATATTACAGAACTTGGAAAGAAGACACTGTGCTGAATGGAGATGATCCATCTACAAAGAACTCATATCCAAAATACATGTAATTTCCATAAACCCATAAGAAATGAGACTGACCATGTTATGGAAAAAAATAAGCAAGCAATTGAAACAGGTATTTCATGTTTTGATAGTGTATCAAATGATCTCCCCTCAATACAGAAAACAAAAACAGACTGAAATGTGCTGAACCATATTAATAATCAGGAAATGCAAATTAAGACCACAATGTAAAAATACGTTCCCCATGCAAAAATGGCTACAATTAAATATTATACATACAGACATATAGATTAGAATGAGGAGAAATTGGAACACTCATTTATTCTAAATTGTTACAGAACTTTGAAAATTGCTTAGCATCATCTACCAAAATTGAACATAAGGAAGCATACTACTTGACCATACAATTTTATTCCTAGGAAAGTACCTAACAAAAATATATGTGTGTGACTGTGTGCTTGTGTGCGGATGAGCACAAAGAGAAAAATAAGCTGTGGCTACATGTACCACAGGGATGAATAATGCAAACATAAAAATGAGTGAAGGTAGCCAGATAACAAATGATAGAGAAAGTAATTTCAATTTATGTAAATACCAAAGATAAAGATGAGCTCTAGTGTTTAGAGATACACACTTGAGTAGTAAGGCGAAAGAGAAAAGTCAAGGAAATTACCATAAACCTAAGGATAGCGCTATGTTGGGAAAATAGAGTGTTGTGATTAGAAAGGGGTATGTGGAGGGCTTTTGAGTACTATCGTATACTAAGTTTTGACCCACTTTTTGGTTACAGCAATTTCACTTTATAATTAATTACTAAACAGTACATTATAGTTTATGTTCTTGTATTTAACATTTCTAAACATTTAAAAATGATGTAAGTTGTTCAGCTCTAGGAAATTGAGTTTCTGTATGAAAGGTATACAATGCTAAATTTATGTTTGCCATTATTTCTAAGAGCTTTAGATTGTAAATACCAGTTAGAGATACTGATTTAGTATTTTCACATTTATATCAACTTATACTGTTACACATGTGAAGTGATATGATTTATCCCTACTTTAAAATAACAATGACAAAGCTCACATGTATATCAAACAATTATGCCAAATTTAGCAGTTAGTAAGTATAATGGATCATGGATTCTGTTATTTATCCATTTGCAACATGTTGCTTTATGTAGTATATTAGAAATATATCCCTCATATAACTTTGGGAACCTAAGAGGACTAGTAGTGTTTAAATTTATTTTCAAATGATTAAATGGAAATTTCCTATGGATTCTGATTAAAGAACTGCTATCAAAACAATAAGATGTTTAGTCTTCCTTTCCATTTCTGGGCTCTGCAGTTATTCCTAGAAACATTTTTTTAAAAACATGGGTAATATCACAGGCTAGTGGTCCTTTTATGGTGGTCACTGGACTTACAGCATTATTTGGAAGTGTTTGAAATATAAATTCTCAAGTTCCCTTCCAGTCCTACTGAGTCATAAGCTCCCAGTGGGACAGGGGAGGGGAGAAGAAGAACCAAGCAATCTGTGTTTTAACAAGTCCTCCAGGTTACTCTGTCACATGTCGAAGTTTGAGAACCACTGTTGGAGATCGAGAGCTCATATGATGCTGTTCACATGTGTTTGATGATTGTTATTTTTTTCCTTAATCTCTTTGCGATCCATGGATGTAAGCGGCAATGCTGAGATTTGGAACTCTCTGAAAGGAAATGTCAGTGCCTTCATATTCCAACTAATCTACAATTCTTATGAACTAAGATTTCCATAATTACATGCTAGCATTTAAATATCAAATTCATCTGAGGCTTGAGGTCTTCTTCCAAGTGTACTTGTTGTTGGCAGAATTTGTTTCCTTCTCATGCTTTCAACATGGCTCTTTCCATCTCTTAGCCAGCAATGATATAGCATCCTTCTTCTGTTTGGAATCTCTGATTCCTCTTCTGCTTTCTTCTTCTGTTTTAATGACTCATATGATTACTTGATACTGTCTGGATAATCCAGGAAAGCCTCCCTTTTTTAAGGCTAGTTGAATAGCAATGTTGATTACATCTGCAAAGTTCCTTTTGCCACATAATGTAACAAATTTTGGTGTAACATTAGGGAACAAAGAACATGATTGCCATAATTCTGTCAATCACAGAGTTAAAATTCAGACATTATATTATCCCAAACTAATGTAGTCGACACCTGTAACTGAGTATTTTAATGTCTTTCTATATTTGAGAAATTTCCTTTCTAAACTAATATTAGTTGGTGGTAAAGTCATCCTTTGTCTATAGACTCAAAAGTTTTGGATAATTATTTCCCTTGCAGCAAAAATGTTGTACCAGGACCTAGTATGCACCATCTAGATGCACCTGCCCTTGGAAGGCATTGATGCAAAGATGCAAGAATGATTAGGACTCATCCCAAGTAGAAGTTTTGGATGTGATTCTGTGGACTACCCAACATCATTTGAGTAAATTCCTTTTCTGCTGACTTCAGCCAAGGCATACTGGAAAATAATTTCTCATAGATGTCTCATGTTCCTGCACATATTAACTGCCCTTTGTTCTTGACTGTCTGTTAACAATATCTGTATATCAAGTAGCCTTGGAAGGTAGACAATGGCAGGTTTTCTTATAGGCCTTGAAAGACAAAGATAGTGTTTCCCTGTGGAGCAAAGACCAGGTGTGCTCATAGCTTTGGAAAATAGAGACAATGTCTACTTCCATAGCAAAGGCTGACATAATTAGTGCCTATTATAAATTCTATGACCACACACACACACACACACAAACACACACACACACACACAAACACACACACACACACACACACACACACACACACACAGAGTGAGATGTATTTCCAAAAGTAGACAAGAGTAGTCATTTTTTTCCTTAAACACACACACACACACACACACACACACACACACACAGATGGTGAGATGTATTTCCAAAAGTAGACAAGAGTAGTCATTTTTTTCCTTAAAAAAATTGAAGCAAATATTGACAGTATGTTAAAATCAAACTACCAAAGCTAAGTAATAAATACAAATGTATGTGATTTATTAAACTTTAAATTATTTTTATGCTTCAAATTATAAAGAAAAAATTGAATTCTATTATTTTTAGTGTAGAGCTATAACACCATAAATTTTAGGTGTATGTTAGAATGATTTATTTAAGAAGATCATTCCGGCATTTTCACCCGTACATAGGCGTGGACTGGCGTGTCCTTGGGATTAGAGAGTGGGACGTTTGGCTCGTGAGCGGGAATGGCTTAGGTCGTACATGGAGAAAGAACGATTTAAAAATGGGTGATGTTGAGGGCCTTCCCTGGTGGCGCAGTGGTTGAGAGTCCGCCTGCCGATGCAGGGGACGCGGGTTCATGCCCCGGTCCGGGAAGATCCCACGTGCCGCGGAGCGGCTGGGCCCGTGAGCCATGGCCGCTGAGCCTGTGCGTCCGGAGCCTGTGCTCCGCAACGGGAGAGGCCACAGCAGTGAGAGGCCCGCGTACCGCAAAATAAATAATTGAAAATAAATAAACAAATAAATAAATAATAGGCTTGGGGTATTTAAAAAAAAAAATGGGTGATGTTGAGAAGGGCAAGAAGATTTTTGTTCAGAAGTGTGCCCAGTGCCATACTGTGGAAAAGGGAGGCAAGCACAAGACTGGGCCAAATCTCCATTGTCTGTTTGGGCAAAAGACTGGTCAGGCTGTCGGATTCTCTTACACAGATGCCAACAAGAACAAAGGCATCACCTGGGGAGAGGAGACGCTGATGGAGTATTTGGAGAATCCCAAGAAGTACATCCCTGGAACAAAAATGATCTTCGCTGGCATTAAGGAGAAGGGAGAAAGGGCAGACTTGATAGCTTATCTCAAAAAAGCTACTAATGAGTAATAGTTGACCACTGCCTTATTTATTATGAAACAAATGTCTCATGACTTTTTATGTGTACCATATTTAAATTGATCTCATACACTAGAATTCAGATCATGAATAGCTGATGTAATATTTCTGTCCTGATTTAAATAAGATTGGCTTGTGGCTAAATGAATATGGTCAGCTTTTTGAATTTTGATAGTAATTCTGGTTCAGCAAGTAGTGCCACTGTTTTCCCCTTCTAAAGAGATGATTAAACTTGAATAAAGAATGTTAAACTTTTCAGGGATATGGTGAATGCCTTCTCAAACCCTACAGGAGATTGGTTTTATATTTAGATTTCTATAACTGGTTATATTAATATATTTAAGTATTGAGAAGCTCCCTTCACTGTCTCATAGAACAGCAAGATTCACCTGTGTTTCAAGTTGTGTTCATTCACCTGTTAAGGCAAAGGCTGAAGATACACTGACAATGTCCACTTTATCATTTTGGTCTTAAATATGCCAATTTAACTAAAATTCTCCATCGAAAATATTGCATTTTACTTAATGAAGGGCATTTTAGTGTGGTTTTGTATAGCATCAGATAAAGAATATTTAGTACTTCTCACATTTTATGGATGATCTTTAAGATCAGATGTTTTTAAAATTCACTGTGACATGATAGGTTGGGAAACTTGCTTGTGAATTCTTTACAAAGTCAGACTAAGTTATAATTCAGGATTGTCTTTTAAATAGGTATTCAGAAACACAACTGTAGAACTACAGTAGATGTGTCATTTGGTAATGATGCTTTTGCCAACTCAGAAGGGTTAAGGTAGAGGAGCTCTATCATTAGCACAGATTTGTAAATTATCTGATCATAAGGCTTGAGAATTAAAAACAAAGTCACAGATTAAAAAAAAAAGATCATTCCAACGTAGCACAATAAATTCACAAAGATATTCATAAGTAAATAATTAAAATATCTATATTTAATTTTAAAATGTTATAGTTATATTGTCTAGAAAGAAATTAGAAATCTAGGTAAAATTTAGATTTTTGTAAGTAGAATTGAAACAATTACTTTTTCTCCCTACCTGATCCCTCCAGAATTCACAAATTGTTAGTGAGTAGTCTTATTTTCATGAAATTTATTTCTTTAAGTTAGTTAGAACCTGTTCTCCTTATAACAGGAAACAATTAGAAATATTAATTATCAAAGCTTTGACTGGAATGTCAGATTTGAGAATGTGTGTAGAATCAGATATGTCCAACAGCTTTAAAGAACTTAGGTTTACTTTATGAAGTCAATAAAGCCTCTTGGAGATACAGCCTTATCTTTTTTATAGAGTTTCTGACAGCCTAACTAGGTGAGTAAGGAAGATCACTTCCTGGCAGGTACACGTACCTCAGGATATTTGGGGGACCTTGAGAAGAGAGTAATTAAGCTAAATAAACAGACATTACAGGCTAAGACAGATGACAGGTCCTTGGCTTGTCTGCTTGGGATTGAGAGGTTTTTTTAAAATACAGTCAGATCCCTTATGAAAAGTTCAAGCAAAGCAGATTCAAGAGAACCTTTATAGGTCAGTCATTACTTTTACTCTACTTATGTAAATAATCAGGCCAAGTTTATTGAAACTAGACTTATTTTGCAAAAAAAAAAAAAAGTAGTCTTAATTTTGCTATCTTTAAAAGAAATAAGGGTTATTTTAGAGAGATCAAATATTTTCCAAGACACTTGTGGAATTTAGATTATAGTTCTGTTAATTGCATTTGCCGTTTTGTTATTTACCTGTTAACTGGACTGGATTCTGAATTCTTCTAATTTCCTCAATTACCTAGCTAAAACTCTCCAAACTAATGTTTCAATTTTCTCCCACCCTTTTGACTTGGAATCACTAACTTATGCTGCCTTTTCCCCTGAAGCCCTGCAAACTAAATGCATGAAACAACTGGATATGAACTTCAGAGAAATTTTCAGAACAGCTCCTTTTTTAGATAATCTTTGTAATATTGTGTGTGGGTCACTCAGAAAGTTTACCTGGACACTTAATTACATCATCAGAAACATTCAATCTGCAAAAGATGCTTTGACCCTGACATCTTGAAATCTCAGCTGGCTTCCCTCAGAACTCAAACTGGGTTTATGTCCTGCTTTAATTACTAACCTTTGTTTTTCTCGTTTCCATAGAAATGCCTTATTAAATACCTGATTTCTGGAATAATACAGCTTTGGGAGCATGGCTGCATCACTTCCTCCTGAATGAGACACAATTGTTTAACTGAATTAGCCAATTTTCAGGGCTAAGACTCATTCAGTATGAAGGAGCAATCTATCAACTAAGCTTCTGGACTTGAAAGTTCTTATTTGAAGTTTCAGAGGCAGGACTAAAGGGGAACAGAATTTTGCTACCCCAAGGTATGTCTCATTGGCATAAGGATTATATTGAGCTAGTTATTATTGAGAAACTGCAAACATAAGAGAAGCTCTGAAAACCAAGTCACCACTTTATAAGACCAATTTACGTTTATAAGGGAAATCTCTACTTGTACCCTCTCTATACCAGAAAAACACAGATGAATCTAGCAACTCTTATCAATGCAGAAGACAACAACTTAAATGTGTATAACAATCTGTCTTTGTTACTTTGCTTTTCTTGGCAACCTTCCTTAAATGGCCTCCCCTTACAACATCTTTTGTCTTTAGGTGGAGATGTTATTTAAGGTGGTGGCTTGGGCCATTTCAGAGTATTTAGTTTTCTTGGGTATCTCCTATGAATACAGGAGGTATACATGTTATTAAGCTTCTGTTTGTTTAATTACAATTATGATGTTGAAATAACTACTATCATAACAAGAATATATATTGGCATTTCCTCTACTGATTGATTAAAATTCAACAAGCATATGTTTGTCAACTAATTCTTGTCTTTATAATCATATCCTTAAAATATTTTCAGAGAAATAACATTTCCAGAAGCAAAAAGAGGCTCTAATGGCATGGACATTAATTTATTTTTAATATTGTTAATTTCTTTTCTAAATTTGTACACTATATTACTAGCAGCCCACGTTAATTAAATATTACTTATATAAGGGAAAAAAAATAGTGATGCCTTGTGATGCTTCAGTTACTGGGTCAAATATATTTTTGTCCCATCCTGACCTCATCGCTTATTAACTCCTCTGCTTCAAGCTAAATATCTCACTGCCAGACTGTTACCTCATTTATAAAATGGCAGATAGTAATATACATGACATACAGCAATTCCATAAAACTATATGATTTGCAATATGATAATCCATCAATAACTGCATGCTTGTTATCACCTACAATTATTGTTTGAATATTTACCAGATTAATATTTAAAGTTTCTTTATTACACATAATAAATTCTTGTTAAATATTTCTTATATTTTTTTCTTTGTATATCTATTAGATTACCAATGGTTTGTGCATAGATTTTCACAAATTCTGTATATGATCAACATTTTTATCTTTTGGTGTCATTTTAAACAAAGATGTAACTTTTCTGATTATAAATTTTATTCTGTTGCTTTTAGATTTAGAGGTATTTCCTTTTGGAGACTTAGTATTCATTTATATTTTTAAAGCTATTTTCTGATTTATTATTTAAAAACCATCTGGAAATAAACAAACAAATAAATAAATAAAAACCATCTGGGATGTATTTCAGCTTATGGAATGAATGTGATTCTAATTTTATCTCTTATTTCTTACTTCCAAAATACATAATAAATTTGATGAAAACAATTATAGAGGGCTTCCCTGGTGGCGCAGTGGTTGAGAGTCCACCTGCCGATGCAGAGGACACGGGTTCATGCCCTGGTCCGGGAAGATCCCACATGCCGCAGAGCGGCTGGGCCCGTGAGCCATGGCCGCTGAGCCTGCGCGTCTGGAGCCTGTGCTCCACAATGGGAGAGGCCACAACAGTGAGAGGCTCGCATACTGCAAAAAGCAAAAACAAAAACAATTATAGATTATTTATCTTTTACTAATTTATACTAATTTCTGATTTATAATTTAAAATGATAAATACCATTATAAAGGACAACTTTCATATACATAAGATAATATTTTAAAATATTCTTTGTTGTTTCCTCAGGATTTGTTTATCTATTCATTCTGTTTTCTTCAGACACAAATATAGGAATAATAATAAAATCATAAAGTGAGCTTGGAATCATTTTAACACACTTAAAATTTTGGAAAAATGTAAACAACTTAGTTGCCTTCTGGAATTAAGACAGCAGAGAAAAATAAATCCCATTCTTCTGAAAATCATCCTTAGGCAGAAAAAGGAACATTATTGCAAACTCTATCAACACCTCTTATAATAAATTCAAGCAAGAAATTAAAAGCTGAAATAGATCTGAGAGACAACAGAGATCAGAGAGAGCACTCTATGAAGAAGAAATGAGTCATAAATCATAGGCACTCATGAAATTAGTGTATGCTGGAAAGAGCAAAAGAAAAAAATCCTCATTGAGTAGACTGAATTGGATGTGAAAAGAAACTAGTATGATTTATTTGGAAATAGATGAAAATGATCAAAAATGTTAAACTGTGGACTAGGAAGAAATAGAAAATATGAATAGACCAATCACGAATAACAAAATTGAAACTATGACTAAAGATCTTCCAACAAATAGAAGTCCAGGACCAGTTGGCTTCACAGGCAAATTCTATTTAGAATTTAGAGAGGAGCTAACACTTATCCTTCTCAAACTCTTCCAAAAAAGTTGCAAAGAGAGGAACACTCCCAAGCTCATTCTACATGATGAAGGCCTCCATCATGATACCAAGACCAGTCAAAGATATCACAAAAATGAAAATTACAGGCCAATATCACGATGAACATAAACACAAAAATCTTCAATAAAATACTAGAAAACTGAATCCAACAACACATTAAAAGGATCATACACCATGATGAAGAGGGATTTATCCCAGGAATGCAAGGATTCTTTAATATAGGCAAATCAAACATTACGATACATCACATAAAC